AGGAAAGAGGTATAGAAAGAAAGATATGGGTATGAAGATGTATTCGTGGTGAAAGAGGTTAACAGAAAAGAGAACATTTCAATATTAAAGAAGTTTTGTATGGTAAAGATTTTTGTCCTAAAATAAGATGGCTGGATTTTTCCAGAATAAAAAAAGTAAAAAGGGACAAATAATCAAAGAATAAAGCATGTCGTAAAAGATTCAAATTATGTTGAAGAAGGTCTGAGAGGGGATGGAAAAGAATTAGAAAGATTTCATGAAAAGATGTATATATGACAGATGGTATCTGATGTGGCCATACAACAATGGGCCATACTATTTGATGCTGAAACACAGTCTACATAGACTTATTTTACTAATGTAAAGTTTGTTAATAAAACAAACCCTCTCCATATTTTTAAAACAAAAAAGGGGGAATCTAGGACCCTCCCCCACTCATGCTGCCCAAGTGCTTTCTTTAACCATATTTAAATTGAATGATCTAAATCTGACATTTGATTCAAAATTACATCAATACAGTACTACCTAAAAACACAAAAACTTCCCCAAACAAGTCTTTTCTTAAATGCCACCAGATCCAATCTGACAAGGTCCAGCTCCACCAATAACCTGGGGAGGAGGGTTTCTGTTTATGCTTACTCCTGCAGGTCTGATCTGGATCTCTCTCTGTGTGTATCACCTGGACACCCTGAGCTGGCATCAAACGCTGAGAATAAGAGACAGAAAAAGCCGACTGAAGCTAACATCAGCACTTGGAAAGACATCAAGGCCCTGTCCAATGATGCCAAAACAACACTGACAGAGATGAGCGCAGAACTAACCCCTGAAAATCCGTTTCTTTCCATGAGTATAAAACTTACTACAAACCCTATGATACTTTGTTGCATCCTGATATACCTGTTCCTGACTCTTCCACCATCTACTGCCTTAAACAATTACTCTTTGGAGCTGTATTCCTCTCAACTGTGCTCTTGATCACTTGCTGCTCCATTCATGTGTTACCCTTACGTGTCTCATGGAGTCAACCTCCTCCTTAATGGGAGAGAGTCATGTTGGCTTTTAAAACAAGAAAAGGTGATATGTGAGGGTATGCAGCCTAGATACAGGAGACAGTTATCAGTATGCCTCAGTAATTACTCACTGGAGCAGGCTGAAACATGCCTTAGATACCAGGGGCTCTGCGGAAATATCCACATGGGACACGGAAAACATCCTGACCCTGGCTAGGTTGTATGATGCCTGTTCTATATGTTTAAGGCTTACACATTAACCTCTTTGATAAATACTCAGGCAGCCTTCCTCGGAGTTGCAGAGGAACAGCATAAGTAAACTGGCTTGACCTATGATACATAATAGGATCACATGATAATAACAAGGTCAAAAGTCGTCTACACTAAAGTCCTTCTCTCTAACTGTTGAACTTCAACAGCATCCTTAAAAACTTGGGCCCAGCAGTTAGAGTAATGGCTATGTCGCTGGACTCCCATGTAGTTGACCGCAGTTCGCATCCTGGCCCCAGTGGCTTAAAATTCACACCGGGCACGTGTGCGTGCGTGCCCAAGATCCTGAGAGGAGAATGGAGGAGAAGGGATTTCAGCGTGTCCATCCCCCCTGGGAAGTGATTTCTCGCTTTCTGTCTCTCGGTCTCTTGTCTGTCCGTCTGGCGAGTGCACGCGCCCTATAGCAAAAACCTCTTCAAAAAAAAAAAAAGGAACCATAAATTATTTTTTCTTTACTTATTATAGAGGATGTATGTACACGAGAGAAATAGGGGAGAGAGAGAGAGAGGGAACTATTTCATGACGGAAGGACTAGAACTCCATTTTCCTAATTACAGAGCCTTTTCCTCACTTTTGTCTTCTCCTCCTTTGTCTCTCAACCAGATCATAATTAGGCAATGAAATAACTATATTTGACTAAATGTAACTCACTTTTTTTTAAATCAAAATTTTTCCTTGAGTGAGCACCTATAGAAAAACGTTTTTACTTATTTTTATTTCTCTCTAGAATTTCATATTAATATGCAAGATTCTTTTATGTTACTTGTTTAAATAATTTTCTGCATAGTTTCAGGATCATAAATATTTATCTTCAAAGTATTATGCTCTATTATTCTTTTTTTTTCTCACTATACATTACTTTTAATTGAGATCCAGCCATTTGGCATATCTAGGTAGACTTAAAATTCATATGAAATGTTAAACTAATCCTCTAAAATAATAATAGGCACTTGCTCATTCACAAGAGCATTTAATGCTTGTTATTGTGGTTACTATCACCAACATTACCCTCAAAAGAATATTGTAGCTCTTCAGGTAGGTTGGTAAAGAGCCAGCCCTTCTAGAAACTACCACTTTCCTTTCTATAAATGGTTTAACTATTTTTCTTATAGTTCAAGCATTCTGCCTTGAATTCAGGACTTCTTTTGTGGATCATTATGAAAATAAAGACAAAAAGTGCTCAATGTAAAGACTTGTAGATTCTAAAACATCAATATTTCTCGCATTAACTTAATCTAGTCTAAGACATTGTAACCAGCTAATCTTAAAATTAATAAAAAAAAGAATTATGTATGTATAGCATAAAATTAAATAGATGACATTTGATCAACAAACATGACTAAATTAAAAAACATTGTGAGTGAAAAAGAATCAAAATGAGGGAACAGCATCGTTTCTCATTTTATAAACATGAATTCTGTTAAGCTCATCTTGGCATCCTGCTGTCAGGCTTGCTAAGTTACCTTGGGGACACATGCAACAGGGTCAGAATTTACAAAGTATTCACCAAAGTAGTATTTGACAGGTTTTTAGGATTCAAAATGAGACACAAAAACATCAAAAATGTTATTTTCTAATATTCCTTTTAGTAGACTTTCATCAACCATCTTTTCCTTCCATTTCAAAAATCTATTGCAAAACTCCTGCTGCAGCGTATCATGCAGTTGCTCTAATGAAATGCAGTTTTTTAGCTTACAGAAAAACATCTGTTCATCAACCTTCTCATTATCTTGCTCACTCAATCCCAATTGTGAACGCTGGGCAATAATAGCACACCAAGTAGACAAGCTCATTTCTATTTTCTGCACAGGAACTTTTTACAGCAGATGTGAAAAAAACTTGACCGCAAAAGATGCTTAGTATAACAAAAACAACCATGACATAGGTGTGGCTTATGAACACAGGAGCTAGAACTCCATGTGCCAAGATCAGGTGAATGAAAAGGTATAATGTTATCAAAATTACATGGCTGTCATTCTCACTTTCCCTGAATAGTATGTAAACTTAACAAAGGATGCAAGTGTAACTGTTAAATCCTAAAAATGAACGTCATTTGAGAACATACCTCACCTATAAAAATGATCAATATTTATGAAAATAAAGTTTTATAAAAACAAAAAGAAAAGTAGCAAAGCATGTGCACTAAATTATAAACACTAAGATATGAAGGACTTTGATCCCACTACCGTATAGCCTAGAAAAGTGTCTAGCACCTAACAGCAAATTGTTAAAACTCAATTTGGCTTAAGTGCATCTCCATACTAGTAGCCAAGCTTTAGCCAATCACAGGCTGCTAACTTATCAGGCAATGCCCAAATAAAGTGTTTTATCACATCAAACCCAAATTAGGCCAATGTCAAGCTGTAACCACCCAACCTGTTTGTGTATGTTACTTCCTTTTTCCCTGTGTAGATATTGCTTCCCCAAGTTGCTGGGCGGAACTCCCTGAATCTCCTATTGCTCTCAGTGCTACCTGACTCCTGAACTTTATTTTCATAAATATTGATCATTTTTCATTGAGTATATTTAGGGTTAGGGTTAGGGTTTATATTTTCAAATGGCATTCCTTTTCCGAGTTTAACTTGTACCCTTTTTAAAGTTTAAGTACTATTCAGGGAAAGTGAGAATAACAGCCACGTAATTTAATAACATTATACCTTTTCATTCACTTGCTCTTGCCACATGGAGTTCTTGCTCCTATGTTCATAAGTCACACCTATGTCATGGTTGTTTTTGTTATACTACGCATCTTTTATGGTCAGTTTTGTTTTTTTTTTTTCACATGTGCTGTAAAAAATTCCTGTGCAGGAAATGGAAATGAGCTTGTCTACTTGGTGGCAAATAAATTCTGCCTAATTTATCTAAAGTTTTTTCTTTGAACAATACTATCATCTTTTAACAATACTTACCTCTGACCATTTCCAATACACCAGGCACAGTTCTAATGTGCTCCATATTTCAAAACCTCCTGTCAGTACCATCACCCAGTTTTTATATATGAAAATTGATAGGAGAGATTAAAGAATTTACCTAGCAAGTACGGTTAGTAACAAAATAGCAGATGTGTTCAAATTGGGGCCATTTATCCCTATAGTCTGTATGCTTACTTGATGAACAAATGGAGTTGGTAAAGATAAAAATAAAATATAAATATAACCACGGATATTGGCTAATCCTGTGGGTGAAATGTCGACTTTTTAAAAATTAGTATTATTTATTATTACTTACACATTCAATCATTATACATCATTTAGTTTGTAAAGAGATTTTACCCGACATGATATATCACCACACAGCAGACAAGTTGAGACTACTAGACACGACATCACCAACCGGCAACAAACCATATTTGTGTAACACAAATATCTTACTTCTCCATATTTCCCCAAATTTCCCTTCCTGCACTCTTCCCCTCTCTAATGCTCCTTCCACTTTGTCCCTTGTCCATAACAATTTCCAATGCTTTTCCGAAAATCTGTATACGTTAAGTGGAGACATGTGATGTCTCTCCTACATAGCCTGACTTGCTTCACTCAGCAACAAATCTTCCAAGTTCGTCCACTTTCTATCAAATTCCAGGGGCTACGTCAAGATGAGAGTAGCCTTCTGAGGCATCATTCCACAGGAAGAAAACGGCATGCTTTAGCTAGTTGGAGACGGAAAGAAATAGCAAAATGCAGAAGGTCAGAGCGGGGAAGCTCCTGACCAGTCCAGACCCACCCTGAGAGGATGTGAGACCAGCAGGAGGACAAAGTGGAGGGGAGCCTCGGCTAGCTCCTGCCTCCTAGGAAGGGAAGTGCCGCACACCCCATGTGCTGGGCGTCCCAGGCACCTTGGCTCACAACTCAGGGAGCCGACTGGCTTTCAGATGCTGACACCGGACACCCAACAACGCAGGTACACCTAGGCAGCCTGGCGCAGGCCGGAGACAGAGGCCCCGCCGCCTACCAGGCACACTCTGATTGGCCTCAACTTCCGTCGGCCGAGCTTCCTATTGGTCACGGGTGCCGAGCATGCGCACCTCTGTCGTGCGCACAGGTGCATGGCTGGCAGAGTAGCCGGGAGCGTCCCCGTGGGTGGTCTAGTAGGTGGGGACTTCGGTGGCTGGATTCACTGTGCAGACCCAGCGGGCTAGTCTGGGAAGCGCCGGGGTCCGCGGGCGTGGCCGTCCTGTGTGCGTAGGGCAGTTGCAGGCTGGCTGCGGGGTCCTCGAGCCGCAGCGTTGGGCCTCAGGTCCCGGGAGGTGTGAGCCTTTTCTGCTGCGTCAGACCCCAGGGCACTTTCCAGACTGGGGTCCATGGGGGTGGGTGTCGGTCGAGGAAGCTCTGCTCTGAAGACCCTGGACCCTGCCCTTGTCCCTGCGAAACTGCGGAGAGGATGCCAGTTATGCAGGGCAGGCAGAGGTCCAGAGATTAGTCCTCTGAGTTCCATGAAGTGATTGGAACTGTTCGCCATGATAGGAAAGTTTCAGCACCGCGTTTTCACAGCCCTGGATAATAATTACTATATATCGTCTTATTTGGATTATGTTTTTGTAATTGCTGTGTTGCCCATGTATGTAATAAATAAATACTGCACGGTGCTGTTTCCCAGGTGCAGATAGGATCCTTAGGGATAGTGTTGAAGTCTTGTATCAGTGATTTTGTTTTTTAATATGTTGCCTAACACTATCATTTTACCACTGATTTTCTTTCCTGCTTAATTTGCCCTTAGTGACCTGGCCTGAGGAGCATAAACTGAACTCTAACCATTGGTCACAGTTCAGAAGTTTAAATTATGGTTTGAATTTCAGTTTAATTTTTTTTTTTTTTAACAAATCCTTCCTAACAGTTCCTCCAGATTTCAACAGTGAAATGAGGATGAAAACTGGCTAGCTTTATAAAAGTAATTTTAAAAAAGTATGGATGAAATTTATTTTACTCTTAATATTCCATAGGAAAGCCTTCATCAACTAGTGCAATGTTTGTGTGTCTTGGAAATACTTTTCCGAGATAATTCAGTCTTTGCTCGACATTAGGATGAAATTGCCATCAAGAACCCTGCAATTTAATTGATTTCCTTTTGTTTTTCTTTCTTGAAGAATTCAACGACAAGAAAATCGCATTTAGTGAACACAAAGGTGTTTTAGGCAGTCTAATTGTATTTATCAGATAAGGTATCTACATTTTAAACAAAACCAGTTAGGTAGCCTACTCAGAAGTACATGTCTAATAAAAAGCCATTTCCATATTCAAACCCATCTAGTCTGGTTCTATTAATAGATATTGAATTTGAACTGCTGTTTTTCTAGGTTAGTGTTTATTATCCCTAATTTAATCATTAATATTTTCCCCTCCTTCCCCATGTCTCATTCTCTATATTTTTTAAAGGACATTTGGACATTAACTTTTTATATACATATATTTTTAAATTTCAATTTCTTTTGTACATTCAATCAATTGGAGGGCTAATTTAGGATATTTCAGGGAGAGTAAGTGCAGGTGAATTCTTGAATTTTTGTGTCGTATGTCTTATCTGTCTCCTGTAAGTGAAGGGACATTTTACTATTGAATGTGGGAGAGCACTATATGATTTGGAAGGGCCAAAAGCATCCCAAGGGTAAGATAAATCTGGTATGCTTCATTAAACAATTTTTTGCTTGCAGGTTTGTGTGGATGTTGTTCACATTTTTAAAGGTGTGAAGAACTTGATATTTTGTAGGCCTGTATTGCATAATAAACACTTTCTTCTGTTTTTTTTTTTTAACTTTTTAGTGCTAAAACTTTATAATAACAACAGTCTCATCTATTTACAAACATGATATAGCAGTAACAATTCTTAAGCCTAAAAGGAATGTGGTTTTGTCTTTTTGCTAGAAGGAAAATGTTTCTCACTTTTGGGGTACCCTTCCCCCCACCTGGCTCAGTGTAGACTCTTGATTATAAGAGTTTATATCTTCTTAGCCAGGATAACTCATCAAAATCTCCTTGAGAGCCTTTATGGACTGTACATGTCTAAACCCCACCCTCAGAGAGTGATTCAGTAACTACTAATGGACCCAACCCCTTGAGCCTGCTTTGTGTTTAGGAATATGGGTGTAAGGTTGGCACAGGGAATCTCTGCTTCATATAAAAAGCCTTTTATTTTTTCTCATCACATGACTTTGAAAACACCTAATTGTGGAAGTCATGTGAGGTGGCATTAAGAAGTGCTGGCTGGGCCAGCAGGTGGCATGGTGGTTAAGGGCGCTGGACTCCCACATGGCCGACTGCTGTTTGAGTCCCAGACTTGGTGGCTTGCTTTCTCACTTCCCTCTCTCTCTCTTGCTCTGTCCTTCTCTGGTAAAATTAAAGTAAGTAAATAAATTTAAAAAGTTAAATAAAATAATTTCTTAAAAGAAAAGAAAATGTGGATGATTGGTGTTGGATTTAAACTTACTATGGACTTTCAAGTTTATTGCCAAAAGACTTAGTAGGAAAATTTCCTGAATGGATAAGGGCAGTACAAAACTTGAGCTTGGAAGTGGATGTACTCACACCATGGTCATGTTCTGGTGGCTCCTAACACTGCTGGTTAGCCTAGCCTCTGCAGAAGTTACAGCCCAAGGGTATCTGGAACCCAAGGCAGTTGTGTCCTCTAAATTGATGTTATTTGTCTTTAGACTTAACTATTTTAGACAAGTCAAGATATGTTAGCTAGTACGGGCTTTTGTACCACACATGGGAGCCATTAATTTATCAACGATGGTACTCCAGAATGTATCCACCAATGTCTTCTGTAGCTTGATACAAAGAGAAGGGTGTCTCAGAAAAATGGACAGTAGTCAGCTAGCTGGAATAATGTCAAGATATTGGATTTGGCATCTGTAAGGTGCGGGTGACCTTAGGAAGACAGAAGCTCAGAGGCTGAGAAAGTGACTTACACACAAATACTTTGCTATGTATTATGCTTTAAGTTGACAGCTTAAAATCAATCTATTTACTTAACACATACTAAATACCAGGCTCCTTTCAGATACTGGGGGGAGATAGGGATAAACCCGATTCCCCAGTTCTTCACAGAACTTTCTCCCTATTGGAAGAACAAAAGCAGACGTGTTAAGTATGCTCTGTCTGAGTGTGCAAGATGGACTCCTTTCCCTGTCTTGTGAGCTCAACGAGTGGAGTTAGAAGACCACTTAGAACAGGGCCAGACACGTAGTGAAGTCCTCAGTAAGTATTTATTAGTAATAGGAACCCTTATGTAGTACCTGTTGTGGGTTAAGCGTAAGTTACTTGACTCTCACCATCACATAAATCGTCCCCATTTACAGATGAAACTGAGCTATAGAGGATAATGTAACCAAGGTCTTAGTGTCTTAAAGTGACAAAGCCAGTATTTGTGTCCATGCAGTTGGGCTTCAGTCTCTGTAACTGATCTCCTTTTCCTTATATGTGTAACTAGCAGTTAAAAGCTTTTCCTAGAGGTGCGTGAAATGCCCAAAGGTAGGAGAACATTCCAAGCTGAGGGACAAAAGTGGAAAAGGCTTTGAGGTGTGAGGAAGAGCTTAGTACTTTCAGGAGAAGTCTGCAGACAGCCTTGAGAATGAGGGAAAGGAATGGAAGGTGGAGAGGAAGGACTGACCGACCGACCCACTGACCGTCGGACCAGGGAGCAGGATTCAAGCCTGGGAGTCCTTGGCCTCCTGCTACAGAGTTCGGAGTTCACCCTGGAGGCAAGAGGAAACTAAAGACTTTATGCCCTGAACAGACAGGATCAGGTTTGCCATTTAGAACTAGCTGCGGTGCAGGCTTTGGGCTAGATAGGGAGGATGATGGGAAGACAGGTCAGAGAGCGAAGTTTCCCAAAGAGAAAACCTGGGAAGAACTGAAGTGGTGATCTTAAATCAGAGCAAGGTAGAGAGCTTGAGATAAGGAGACTCTGATAAGAGATTTGTTGCACAAGCCCACACCTTCCTGTATTGCTTTTTTCTTTTTCTTTTTTTTTCTTTTTTCTTTTTTTGTATTAGAGGTAATAAATAGCTGAGGGCATAAATGTCACTCAGAGAAAAACTAAGCATAGTTGAACTTGAAAAACAGGAAGCAATGAAAATGTTGACTATTTTAAGCAAAAAACACAGTCTTTAGTACATGCCATCATAAAATCAGAAATGAAAGGAAGAGAAGAAAGCTTTTCTGACTAAAGACTGAAAGATCATTTTCTGAAGCTTAGACTTTTTTATTTTCTTTTACCATTTCCTACAGAGAATATTTGTATGGAGGGGTGAGTAAAAATTTAGCAGCTAAGAAAGCTTCCTGACTTGGTAGCACGTACTCCCATTTGCCATCCACCCCCTTCCTGTGCCTGTATCCCTCCCCAGCCTGCCTTGTTTCTAGGGCTGGTGAGCTGAGAAGTGGCCCTCACTACCCACCCGTCCTTCTCTTAGGCCTTTAAGTTCTGCAGAACTTTTTCTTTATTGGGGAGACACCATCAATAGGGTGTGATTGATAGCCCATGCCCCATGGCAGCCCAGACAGGTATGTGTTTTTGGAGTGCACAGGAAGACCTCTGGATGCAAGCGTGGGACCTTCCCATGTGGTGGCAGCACAGCCAGTACTGTTCATTGCTGCCCCAACCCTGATCTTCATAGAGACCTTGACTAATTCACAGGGATCCGTATCTACATCTGCACATGCAAAGGCTTCCTGATCTGGATCTGGATCCGCATCTGGATCGAGAGTTGACTGGGGGGATATTTCACTCATGAACTTATGCTGTCAGAATTATTTTAGATTTATAAAAATAATTTAGGATTCTGTGAGGTGTCTCCTTTATTATTTATTTGGAGAGGTTTTTGCTATAGGGCACATGCTCTT